AAGCTTGATAAGCCTAAGCCCAATAATCTTAATTGTATATTTACGTTATTCATACGGTGTCAATTTTTTAGTCAAGTCTTAATGATATTTACCATTAGGTGAACTGCCATATTTGCAAGCATGTTCCCTTCCCTCAAGCGAAGTGGGCACTTAACCTCGTTAAAACGTGATTAAGTGCTATAAGATAAACACTTTCGTTAAAGTAAGTCATTTAAAAAAGGTTACGTCATTCGCAGGGAGTCATGTAAATGTCATCGGGGCCAACATAAGAAAGACCCATACACAACTAACCCACAACAACAACAACAACAACAATAGCAAAAGAACAAAGAAACACAACAAAAACAAACAAAGAAACAAAGAAACAAAAAATAAACAACAACAACAAACATAAATACAAAATGTGTGTTTCTGCATGCATACTCTGTGTAACCTAGCTTGAATATATATCTTTTCAAAAAAACATAACATTTTGGCAGGAAAAGTAACGTACAAACACGTGCTCAGAAACATGAGTTCGCAGTAGAATTCAAAATTTTAATATTGTTGAATTTGTATGAAACTTGTTTTGAATCAATAAAAGCCTAATTATCATACAGTTATTCCTGATTGGTACTTAGTTTCACTTAGTAGATCTTAGATAGCAAACAACAATGACTTAAAAAAAACCTTCTGCTGAAGTCAAGTTTATACGGAATTCAATAAACGACAGCCTACTGCCCACTGCCTACTGCCATATGGACAGCCTGCTGCTCACTGCCTCCTGCTAACTGCTTATTGGCAGTCTAAGTCTATGTATGGATCAAATAGAAGTATTCCGAATGTACAAACATGTGTGCCCGCCATTTTGTTGAAAAAAAATCTGCTTGGAAAACAATGGTAAGTAAATAAAAAAGGATTATTTTATTATTAAGCCTAATAATTTGTAATTTCGAATTCATTTCAATGACTTGTGTACGTCCCACCATTGCACACTGCATTGATTATGTTATGAAATGGTTCCACGTGCCCCTTGCACATTGTCAAATATAGGACTCATTTTAGGGTAAATCAACTTAATAATATTTTATTCAAAAAGAATCATTGTTCAACAATCAACATGGACGTACTTGAGCCCACTATTCCTCGGTTGAGAGGCGGAGATCTGGACCATTATGTCAACACCCCCTTATTTTATTGAGAATTTCATAGTTTATTAAACTTTCATTTGACAATGCAAAACATTAGAAGAATATTTGTAATATACTGGTGAAATCACGGGTGAAATTTAGGCTAAACATTCTCTCATAATCATAAATGTGTGAGTTCATTTACGAGGTCATTTTGGTTCAGTTTTCATTGGCTGTTAGTTATAGCTTATAAATGTGTAATTCCTTATTAGATGTTATGTAATGCATTTTTGTTAAGTTGATTGCACTCTTGATAGTTTATGTTGCAAAGATATGTGCTTTGAAGGTTAATTATAGAATCAATTTTATTCCAGTACAGAGGATGATAAATCTGACAGAAACATTTCAAAGGAGGAACAGCCATTACTTTCATTTACTTCACAGACAAGTAACAGAACCAATACACCTGTATGAAAATATTGAAATTACAATGGAAGAGGAAAAGGACTACATAAACGTATTGGTTCTTATATGCGAGTTGAACTCGACTTCCTCCTGAAAGCATAAACAAAGTATTCAAATTGTTTCAAAAACGTTCAATATTTCAATGACATAAAGAGTGCAAACATGAAGTGAAAAACTACAGTTTGGACCAGCTTATTTTACTTTTATGAAAAGCCATCGTTATTCTCTTTTTAAATTCAATTGTGCTATTGAAAAACTCAGAGAAATAATAGATTCATAACTGTTTAAATTTACTTAAACAGTTCTGATAGACAAAATGATCATGTTAATGTTACAATATTTTTTTTGACGTGTTTGTTTAAAATCCATCTTTTACATAATTTTTATAATTACATGTATCTTGTTAACAAAAACACTTAAAAGTGAACTTTAAGGTTGGTTATTTTTTCTATTTCTTTTTGCAATTACCGCAAGTAAAACCAATGAGCAAATCTGCCTTCGTATTTGCCAGAATCATCCAATGAAAGTCATTGCTATTTCAATCAGGGTTTTAAAGGTTTGACAACTAAGGTAAGACATCGTGATAGTGTAGAGCTTCTATGATATGATATGAAGCATTTTTAAGTTACCTTTCTTACAACGAGTATATCACTTTATATTGCAGTGTATATTTACATTAATATAATTTCATAACAATTATATAATTCATAACAGAACTTTTAATTATAATTATGCTTTTATATTAATTGCTTTCCCCGAAACTTTACAAATATTTTATATAGATTTTGATTTTTTACAGGCGTGTCATAATTTTTATTTTAAATAACGGCGTATACAAGAAAATATTAGCTTACTGGTCTAAACATGCTTTTTATGTTGTGTTATTAACTTATTATCAATAAGTATAATTATTGATACAGAAAAAAGAGGACTGACCGTTGTGATGACATTACAATGCCTCCGTTTAAAAATATCATTAAGCTCTATAATTATAGGGCAGGGTCAATATCATTCAATGAACAAATATTAAAGTATACATGGTATGTAGTAGTATTATCTAACCTTGAACAGGGATAAAAAATGTATAAATAATTAAGCAAGCAGTTATACCGGTATTTGTTAGACAAGATTTAATGACAGAAAAACTTGTAATATTTGGTTTGATAACATTTTTATAAAGTTTACAGGTCTATGATTTGGAAAAGTTCCAGATGCATGCAAAGATATATACTTATTTTTCTGCTTAGTAAAACGAGAATTATACATGTATTTGATAAATGTAACAAGTTCCAAGGTTTCAGTTAAAGTCTTCATATATGATACAGAGTAATTCCTTGACCAATACTGTTTCAAACGGCCTCATTGTAACATATAAACACATTGAAAGAAGGACATAAAAAGCCAAATTTTACTTTCAGGCAATTAATCGGGTATTACACAGGTGTAACAGTTAGCTTTTATCAATTAGCAGTAAGCATTAAACAGTCGCTGTAAGCATTGAGCAGTTGAAGTTGACAATAGGCAGTTGACAGTAAGCAGTTGACAGTAGGCAGTTGACAGTAAACAATAGGCTGTCGGAATTCCGTAAGTTTACGATATTTTAAATCTTGAGTCAGTCAAATTATTAATAACATAATAATGGATGTAACACACTTAAAAACACCAGAGATCAAAACAACCTCGTGTGATGGAGCTAAGTGATGCATGGACTCCAGTAGTTCGAACCCAGTAAGTTGCCTCTTATGATCACGCACAGATAAACGTTGGCTGCAATTTTGATGTCTTAACTCTTTAAGGCAACCCCTCAATTGGATTCAAAGCTACGTAGAAATATGAGGAAATAACAAAAATATAATCTTTGGCTTAAGAATCATTCAGTAGACTTATTATTACCAAAAATGATTTAATCCTTCTATTAGAAAACGTATATAGACTGAAATTGATATCAAAGTGTGAAAAAGCCGAAATAAACAAATTCATTATACTAGTATCATAATTATACATGTCAACTATCATAAAGTTTCTCTTAGATGTCGAATTGTACACACTATGGTAACACATTCTCACATTGTAACAAGAGACGATTATCCATTTTGTATAGCATTATATTTCACTTTATTTAAGTTTTTTTTCTCTTTTTCGTGATATTTTGATCGAAAAATTTTACTTAAAGATCTTTTTGACTCAGTTCAATTGAAAGTTCACATCAAATAACCTTATATTCTAAGACTTAATTATACATTTAATAAACGTGTACTGACACACTTAAAGCTTAATAATAATAGTGCTCGGCGTGGTAAGACCAGTATCAAAAACAAACGAAGAAAAAAAAAACAAATGACAAACGATCTAACAAACAAACAAACAAAGAAACACAAACGCAATCACATATGTCTTTAAATTGAGTCAATGTTTGCGAAATTTAAAAATTCAAAAAGAAAACACGATAAGTGTTTATATCTGCACTTTTCAAAACATAACATTATATTCGTGAAGCATCATGTAAATATGCGAGCCATTGTTTCTATATAAACAGTAGTCTGACGCGTTCAAGAAAAGTCTTCTTCCTCACTACTTCTTCACCTGCCGTTTCTGTGAAATTTCTTTCGAATTCACGCATTTTCTCTTCCATGTAGGCATTTCGCTCAGCTTCAGATTGCTTAAACTTTCGATCAAACATTACATTAACGCTTTCGTTTATTTTTTTTTCCAAAAGCTCTGCAAATAAACAACACTCATTAACTGTACTACATCTTAAGTAAACGATGAAATAGCAATTGCTCTTTGATATTTATTAATTATAATCTTTATGTTAATTGTAAAAGCTTCAGTCTATATGGAAAATAACGCACTCAATATTATCAAAGTAAAACATGTAAACTACTCTTTCACACGCTTTGCATTTGATCTACACAACCGCCGTAATAAAAGGGTTGCAAATTCAATCTGTGTCGATTTTCCATCAGCACCAAATTAGGAAAATATATGATAGGCATTAAAATTTCCGGAATTAAGTTTAATAATTTGATGCCATATATCAATAATTCATCATACTGTTGAAAACTTTAATGTACATGTCGAAATTTACAAGTAATGAAAGACATATAGAAGAAAGACAAGACACGAAACTTGCAACTTTCGGTTTTAGGTTGGTAAATACCAATTCAATATTGTGTTTTCGAAAAACTAAATACGTTATTAATTGCTCTATTGTCCACATACTAATTTTATATAATACATCTAAAAACTAAAACTTTGGTAACTCGTAAAACTTTTTTTCTTCTTCTAATTTTCTTCAATTTACTAGTATATAGATATCAATCATAGACACGACATCAACTAGAAAAGATCCCAGTGTCGCAAATAATTTTGAATCAGCTTAGTCACTTTATTTAAATAAAATGAATTGTATTTTTAGAGTAAATTTTATATATCACCTTTTCTTTCCCTATCCTCATGCAATTTGGCACGGAAAGCAATCTCCAATTTCTCATCATTGATACTCTTTTCAAAATTGATTATTGCTTTCAACCGCTGTAATCAGTAATTAACAATTATATTCACTTGCTTATAAATAAAGAACTTTTCAATAAAAACAAAAAATAAGTGAATTGACTAAATGCGTATTATATTGTAATTGTATTAGAAAGATGTATTTTTTAAATGTGTATATTGAGAGAGAGAGAGAGAGAGAGAGAGAGAGAGAGAGAGAGAGAGAGAGAGAGTACCATTCTAGTGTCTTATATAACTAAGTTTACCAGGCAAGGCTTCGAGAAAAAGGACAAGGCTCTGTCAAACTCTTTGTTTCTCGTGCCGAATATAATCAATTTTTTAATATCAGACACTTGTTTAGTATTTTATGTATCATGTTTACAATTTTAATATTCGTTTCCTTCGAAACAAATAATGTCGGTTCATAACCCGTTAAGTTAAATGTCAAGATGTTTGTTGAAAGAAATATACCTGAATGTTTCTAGTCAAATGAAAGAGACTTTTATAGTTAAAAGTTTTTTTATTAGATTTAAAATTTGACACTTTAAACTTTTCAAACTTTTTTTTTGATTGGGTTTACGTCACGCCGACACAGTATAGGTCATATTGCGACGTTCCAGCGTTACTGGTAGAGGAAGACCTCAGGTGCCCCTCCGTGCATTATTTCAGGCACGAACGTGCCCCTGAGTAGAACCACCGACGTTCCGTAAGCTAGCTGGATAGCTTCCTCACATGAAAGAATCCAAAGTACCTGTCGGGATTCGAACCCACAGCAGTAAGGGGGAAGTAGTTTGAAGTCAACGACCTTAACCACTCGGCCACGGACGCCCCTTTTTCAAACTAGTACGATGTAAATTTGTTTATTTTCTTCATTAAATTTCAAAATGTTTTGATGGGGTTTCTGATAAAGCCGAGGATGACTTATAAACCACATTTATCAGGCATGCACTTTATCAACATTAATCAATGTAATGACATGATAAAACTGAATATGTAATGCGGGAAAGAAAAACTGCTAATATACCTCATCTTCGTCATAGTCTTCCATTTCTCTATGAAACCCTTCTTTTATATAACCGATATTCTCACTGTACAATTCCAAACCTCCCTTTGCATCAAACCAAGCCTCATTTTGTTTAATCATGACATTGTGAAGCTTTTCAAGAGCTTCTAGTAAGATGTGTAGAACGAGTGCACTGTTTTGTTCACGAAATTCATCAGCAATCTTTTTCATTTTTTTCTGAATAGTTAAACATATTTGCATTCATTTTAATTTTGCCTTTTTCGTATCAAGTTTCAAACCTTGGACTTTAGCATTTTCATCACAATTTAAGTATTTCATATCTTGACATAAATGTGCAGTATTTAAAACTTATAACTTTAAAATATTAACAACATTGATTTATATTATAAAGAATAATACATTTTGTATCTATAATACATTCTGATATACAATGCAGTTTATATTCAGATGAATCAAATACGGGCTTGCTCATTAAAATCTGTTTAATCAGAACTTATATGATAGAGATATTATTGCATGCGTAACCAGTTCATGAATGGAAAAACAAGATAAAATATAGAACAGAAGTATACCATTGCCTTATCTTCAAATATATCAATTCTGTACGGATACATCTTTGCCCTCAATTGTTTGAGCTTTATGTTAAGTATCTCAATTGCTTTTCCTGCTATGTCTGTTTTACGCTTCACAGGTATATCCATTTTCTTCAGTTCAGTTTCAAATTCATGTACGGATGTAACAACTAGCTTGCTGTTGTGAAATATGGACACCTGATCAAATGCTTTATCGTATGACAGTATTGATCCTGTTCGCATTGCTGCCACATATGTTTGCGTAAAAGATTCAAAGTCTGAAAATCATTTATAAGCAGAAAATCAGTCATCAAAAGACTACACTGTTCATTGGACGGACAACATGTTACCTCACCTATCAAAAAGAACGACAACAATGCAAAAATTTAGTTTTGTAATCTATATTACTGAAACTATTTATATAGAATATCTTTTTTATATAATAACATTTATATTTCGAAAAATATTTTAATCCTCTTCAAAATGAAAGCACGACAAAGGTAGGGTAATACACAACGTAATGAAGGATATTATGGTGGTTGAGTTGAGCTATGTCGTATTTTTGCCGTCGTGGCGCCGGACGAAAACACGAAAATACAACAAAGTTAATATTATGCTTTCACTTTCGCTCCGCGTGGCGCAAAGTGAAAACATGATCATACATGGGTTACTACCAAATAATACTCGAATTTTCAAACTATGTATTGTTTCCCACTTCTCTGATTTCCAATATTCTTTTTTAATACGAACTTTATTCATAATGGGGATAGACCGAGTTTTTAATATGAAAGCTCACTGTAAAAAAGCACCCAACAGTAAAAATATTGATTATTCCTTTAAATAGGTATCTTTACATTGTGAAGTATGGAGGCCGTATAAAATCGTCCTGTACAATCAATCAGAGATTTTGTTTCCGGTGGTTGGAAATATCGTTCAGCATGTCATTACTGTTGTTGCCTTTTTGCTAGTTGTGTTGTTCGGATATTCCTACATGAAAACTGAATTATCTTCCCTAAGGATACTTTGCTAACTTTTTAATTTAAATATTTTAAACAGCTTGTATGTTATATGCAGACTTCATGACCTTTGTTCTGTAGAGGATCGACAGTTTGATATATGCTTAGCATCGAATATCTAAAATCTTGACTCTGCAATTTCTTTAAGTTAATTTCATTTACAACTGAATGTTTACTTAAAGGCTCATTATGCCTCAGAAATTCTTTTATTTCCCAAAATATTTTTTTAATTTTAGTGTACTTTTATTGTTTCTAAAAATGTACTCATTGGTCAATTACCGGAACCATAATTTTTATCTTTTGCTTTTCGGTAATAAGTACAGTGGTAGTGAATTAGTATTTTGAAGTAAAATACTTCTTTGTTTACATTTCGGTACTTTTGTGGCAAATCATTTCACATTCATCACTACGTTTCCAGGTAACAAATACTAACATTTCTTTAAAATTATGAAATTCATCTTTGCCCTTTCTAAAGAAGTAAATATTGGTTTTGCACAGAAAAAAAACAACTTCTTAGAGCACTTGTTAAATTGAATGTTAACATTTTTCAGCACTTTATGTACCACGGTATCAACATGCGAAGAAAGTTAATGTACATTATGCTTAATTCTGCCTTTAATGTCTTGTTTATTCATGCAAAAACATTATCTTTATATTATATTAATATGATAATACTTACCAGAACCTTTAATTGGAGCCCTTGTAACTGCATCTGTAACTTTATGTTCACATGCATACACATATTCTTGAAGACTGTTACAGTCACGTACAAATTCGTCGTTGAGTTGATCATCGATATAATCATCAACTTTAGCAAGCTTTTTGCCCATAGCTGGTTGCGCGAGCGTGAAGCATTTTCTTCTGGGAAAGTAATTTTTGATGCATTCCCTCGTTTCGTCAATTTTTTCTTTGCCTTTGCCGTCTGACATAGACAAACATTTCTCAAAGTATTTATCCGGAGACATTTCTGTACCATCTTCGTCTTTCACCTCGAGATAAAAGTCTCGGAGACACAAAATAAAAATAGGAGTGATTATTTTCATGGTATCTTCATTTTCTTTTTTGTTTAAACTGGGCAAAACCTGTACATCTTTCGATACTCGTGTTATAAAGCTGTCATATGTTAAAGGAAAACTAACGCTATCAGTATTTACAAATTAGTAAGATATAACACTAAAACTATGTCTCTAGCATTGAGTATTAAATGTATATGCAACAGAAATCTTTTAGCAAAAGTGTCAAAAATCTTAACTATTTTGGTACTGACGCCGAAGACCAGACCACTAAAATAGCAGCTCATCTGTTTCTATGAAAAATGCAGCTCAAATATACATCTTAAAAAACTAATTATACGAATGGTATTAGTTTTTCTATATTATAACTTTGTTTTTTTCAGACTTGGATACAAAGACGATCTATTCAAAAAATATTAATGCATTTTTTTATAGATCATTCACTCACTCCGTTTGTACAGAAAATATCATTTTAACTGCAAAATGACTCATAAGAAAGTAAATGCGTCGCAATGATATAAACTGAAATTGTGCTAAGAATCTCACAGAAATTTGAGATAGGTCTTTATTATCATTTGCATGTTGATCTATGAAAAAATTTCAAATTTTATGTTTTATAAGCTTCAGTGGAGCCCTTTATTGGAAATGCAAACGGATTATGCCTCAAACGGATGCGTCGCAATAATATTAACTCAACTGACAGAAATTGAATATAGTTCTTTATTATCTTTTGCATGTTGATTTATGAAATCATTTCAAATTATATGTTTTAGGCATTAGAACATCAGTGGAGACCTTTCTCGGAAATGCAAAAGGATAATGCCTCAAACTGATGCACATGAACATTGATAAGCTATAGGGGAATAGACTGTCAGAAATTTATACCCCCTAAATTTCACATCACAAGACACGAATACTTTGTCAGTGAATTCAAACCCAAAAGCGCTCCTCTAAGTTCAGTTCTACACATTACCTGCACATGGTCCAAATTCATTGCTAATTTTACTAAACTTTAGCCTTGTCATGTTGGAGGAGAACATCTTTTAATAAGGTTTTTACTAAATACATATTTGAAAAAACTTGGAAGAGGTCCACTACCCAAGGTATCATACGAATTTTATCTTATTGATAGCTTTTGTCACAAAAGCCGAATATTTTTAAGTTTTTACTTTATACATATCAGCAAAAAATGGTCCTCCCGGGCAGGGCCACTTTTGACACCAGGGCTAGGATATCAGTTGAACCTACGGGACTAAAAACAAAGAGCATTCATTGCAATCACTCTAAAAGGATACGCTAATTTTTCAACAGCATCTTGATTGAAAACACCCGTGTTATTGTAGATGAGTGTGCTACTGAGAAGCATTGTTAGACTAAACATCTTGTTATCATGTTCAGTGTCCCCCTAAAATGGAAAGTCAAACACATCATCGTAAGAACATATTAGAAAAGATTATTTCTACAAGACATTTTTACAATAGGATACTGAGAGTTCACATTTGAATTAATCATGAAGTCGGTTTTGTCAAAGAATGAATCAAATCCATATTTAAGTAACAAAGTACATGTAATGACACTTTTTAAAAGCAAATTTCAATATTTTGATCCTGACAATCAAGATCTTATAAGTCCAGGCCTCGACATTAGCGGTGGTCCATTGGTCCGAGACCACTTGATTTTGGCAAGGACCACCTAATTTTACAGGCAACTGGTCCGTTAGACCACTTGAATTTTCCAAATGGTGCAGGGCTCATCTGGGAGAATGGTTATTTGGTCGAAAAACATGTTCTTTAATTGTTGTTTAAAACCATTTCTCCGATGTACAGGTACATGTTCATTCATCTCATTAGTTCAAAAAGATCTTAAGACATCCATAACTTTTTATTAACTCGCTAACAGTGTAGTTAAAAAGTAGAAAATTATTTTAATAATTAAAGTATAAAATTCATTCAAATGTCTCTAGTACTGCATTGAATTTATAACATTGTATCACTATGGGATATCGGATAAACACATGAATAATGGTGCAAACAAAGGCAAAGGAAAAATTAAATATCTAGTAATCTTTGGCTACTTTTTTAAACGATCAGAGATCCATTTTTTTCTTATTTAAAGTACTTTAAAAGGTTATAAATACTTTGTCAAAAATAAATAAATTTCAACAAACAAGCATGTATAATAAATCTGTGAGGAAGATAAGCTCAATTATAATGTAGGAATTTTTCTGTTTATCATTAATATTTCATTGTTTCAAAGACAAGAATATAATAACTTAATAGTTTAATTAAAAATGTTAATCTATAAAAAGCAATTATTATTCTTATAAGATGTACCAGGAAACAGCAATGAGTATTTGAATAACAGTAAGGAAATAAGTCATTCACAAATGGTTTCACTATTCCCTAACTTGAGTTGCGGAAGAAGTCACTTAACCGAAGTATGAGTACTGTCATGTATTTTTCAATGAGATAATAAATACTAAATAGGATTACAATGACTTACTACAGTCCAACCCCGTTTATTCGAAGTGCCTGGGACTGAATATTTACTTCGAATAATCGATGGGTTCGAATAATCGAAATCGAAATATTGTGACAGACGAAAACTACTCCACTTTGATCAATCATCGCAAAACTACCGTTTACAACACACTTGCTTCCTGTAATCAATTGAGCAAAATAAATATTTAAGAAAAGATGCGTAGAAATTATTGTATTGACATTGAAGACATAAATACTTGCATTTTATTTTACATTATGTATCGTTTCGTTCCGCGCAAAGCCTTGATAATGGCCGTGTCGTCACTACGGTATTTACAGCTAAACTCTGGTGTTTTAATTAAGGCTGCAATTAATGAAAACAATGTTTTGTATGTTTTGACAAATTCACATATACGGATTGTATAAAAATTATTGCTGTCATGTTCAACAAAATCGGACACGGTGCATAGCTTTTCATTTTCGGTAATTAAAGTTGAAAGAGTTATTATCATGATTGTCTAATTACACGCATGACTGTGGATATTTTTCACAAGTCGACTGGTCAGCGAGTGGATCTGCGCCAATTAGTCTGGCTTCGAATAATAATTAGGCTGGCTTCGAATAATAGGTGTGAAATTCTTTCATAATTGTATAATCGGGACCGAAATTTTACTTCGAAAAATAGGAGGTATTCGGATTATGCATTTCGAATAATACGCTCGTATTTATATTGTTTTATATAGAGATAAAAACGGGACCGCCGATCTACTTCGGATAATGCCGGGTATTCGAATAAAGGGTTGTCGAATAACCGGGGTCGGACTGTATCTGATTAGATTGAAATAGAAAAACATACATGTTTTCTTCAGTTGTTATAAATCTAATAATAAATATGTCTCTGTCACCAATTTTAAGTGTAGTTCTTCTAAATCTGAAGTTTCCTTAAAAACAATTGAGTAAAAAAAGATGGACCACCTGTGTTCAGAAAGGACCACCTGAATTTTGGATCCAGTGGTCCGGCATACCACCTGCTGAAAAAGTTAGTGTCAAGACCTGAAGTCATATCATAACTATTCAATATGTCTGTTTGGTCATGTGTGTTCTTCTGTCCAAGTATCAATAAAGTCTGTCAATAGAAAAACAAAGTTTTTTTTCAACTTATTTCAATAATTTGACTATGACTGTGAAGGTTAGTATGTCAAAGTTCAAATTTATATCAAATAATTCAACCTGTTTGTTTGTCTGGATATGAATCAAATCTGCAAGAAATGACAATTTACTCAAATTAAAACAAATTGTACATTGACACATTTGTTCTTTTGCCCAAGTATATATCAAATCAAATAAAAAGCAGACTAATGACGATTTCAGTAAATTCTTTATCATAAGTATAAATCAAATCCACAAATGAATAAGTTATGGTTAATTGTAGTAAAATCAATGTCACGGTCAAGTTAAATTAGATCTTCTGTAATGTAATGTCTTGTCTTATCTTGTTTTGTTAATAAATTACAAAGTTATAGCATTTTATAGCAAAATTCTGAGGTTTTGTTATTTCACACATTACGTGTCCCTCTCCTTTTGTCGCTATTGTGTCCGCTCCCGGTTTTGGTTTGGTGACTTTTGGACAAAGGCAACGTTCACAGGACGCAGCCCCCAACACACCCAGGTAGGGCACCTTGATCTTTAATCTTATTTGTTTTACAATAATTTACCTCTAAAGTCAAGGTATATATTGGTCAATGTCCAGTTAAAATTTATGTTTCTTAAGATATTTTCCTTAAGGTAGTTGTGCTTTAGTATTAAGAGAATTTATTCATAAATAACATTATTGCCAATTCGCGCCTGTTTAACGGCAAATTTAAGATAATTAACTTATTATTTATCTTTTGTAAACTCTGGATGCTATGATTTAATAAAAGTTGCAAGGGGGCGTAAGGTAATCTGAGATGTTTTATTTCCTTGAAGATCGTTCAGCACGACATTATTGTGCTTGTGGTACATTTTAATTTTTACTTTTCGTAATTTTTCTACTTGGGTGGTTATAATATTCCTACTTGAATAATGCTGAATCACACGTAATATTTGTTGTCTGCTTTTTAATTTTGTCTTTTGACGTTATATCTGTGATATGCAGACTTCATAACCTCAGATCCCCTTTCAAAATTCAAGTTTATATAGTTCTACCCATTGTTTTCTCGTTAAGGGCAAACATTTTTAATTGGAGACCATAAGCCGCTTTTCATTAAATGGCATTAACGTGTCACATTGAAGGTTCCATGATAGCCGCCAGATGAACACATCTGCGGATGCTTCTTAAATCAAAGTTCCACCATATTTATGTTGAAATGTTAAATTCTGCTTTAGCTTGTCCTAGGGGGCGTGGACGGTAGTTTGCATGATACAGTACCGTTCATGAACAGACTCAATCAAACCGAGCCTGCAACATTTTTTTGAATTTTGCCGATTTGGACTTTCTTTAGGGATTTTATTTTCTCTATTTGATGAATTTCTGCTTGAATTGTAGCCACAGCTATTTAATGGACAATT